GGGGGGGGGGGGGGGGGGGGGGAAGGGGGGGGGGGCGTAAGGCCACGCCCGCAGAGGAAACCACGCCCCCGCACACCAAATTTGACGGGAGACCACGCCCATCGCTCTAAAACCACGCCCCTTATAGTAAATCCACCAACACCACGCCCACTCCGTTCAAAAGGACACGCCCACAAGCAACAAACGTGGCGAGAGACCACGCCCCTTCGATGGAAAGCCACGCCCCCGTGCACGTCGAGTGCTCGTGCGAAACCACGCCCCCTCATTCCATATGCAGGGAGGCCACGCCCCACAAACGCATCACATATCAGAATCCCCGCCCCCTCAGGTTGAACGCCACGCCTACTCGCTGAAACCGCGCCCCCACAGGCAAAGTCTCCTCTCCCATTGGCTCCCACGCGTCAAGCCCCGCCCTCCCCTTCCCGGCAGCCTCCGCGGTCCAAGATGGCGGCGCCGGAGACGCAGCGGGGCCGGGCCGGGTTGTCCCGGTGATTCCCGGGGGATCCCGGAGGGTCCCGGGACTTCCCGGGCACTTCCCGGTGCCGCGATGGGCCCCGCGGTGCTGCTGGCGGTGCTGAGCGCGGTGCTGGGCGCGCTGCGGTGAGCGGGGCCGGGGGGGGCTGGGAGGGTCCCGGGGGGGTTCGGAGGGACCGGGGCCCTCACGGCGGCTCCTCTGTGCCCACAGCCCGGCAGCGACGGCGGCGGCGGCGGCCATCGAGGAGCGGCCCGGTGAGCGCGGGGTCGGGCCGGGATCTGGGGGGGCTCTGTCCGGGTTCGGGGGTCTGGGGGGCCGGGCTGAGCTGGACTCGGTTGGGTCCTGGGAGCTCGAACCGGAGGCGGTCTGAGGGCTCGGTCCGGGGTCTGGGGGCTCGGTCCGGGGTCTGGGGGCTCGGTCCGGGGTTTGGGGGCTCTATTCGCTCCCCCCTGACCTCTCCCCCCCTCCCCAGCGAGCCCCGCGGTGGCCACGCCGTGCTGGCGGGAGGAGCAGTTCGTGGTGGCCCAGGAATGTGCCCGGTGCTCCGAATTCCAGATGGTGAGCGGGGCTGGGACCCCCCAACCGGGGGGCTGGGACCCCCCAACCGGGAGACTGGGACCCCCAACACCGGGGGGGCTGGGCCCCCCCAACCGGGAGACTGGGACCCCCAACACCGGGGAGGCTGGTGGGGCTGGGAACTCCCCCCGCCTTACCC